GGGGATTTAACTATAAATAGGACAATTACAAATAAAATTACGGGAACAATAGGTTGAAGATGACCCTGCTCAATCGAGCTTACATTGTATAGCAGGTGGGGTGTAAAACACATTAGGACAGGAATTTGCAGTCAAATAAGGTGGGCTGCCCTTTAGGAGAGAGCAAGAGACAGGTATGTGAGGTAGAGGTTAGTCTTGGAGGCCATACGCTTTCCTAAAGAGATGGGCTTTAAGGCACTTCTTAAAAGATGCAAGACTAGGGGAGAGTCTGATGGCGGTAGGCAGGCTATTCCATAGGAAGGGAGCCGCCCGCTAGAAGTCCTGCAAGCATGAGTTGGCCGTACGGGTGCGGACAACGGACAGGAGGTGGTCACGGGCAGAGCAGAGAGACCGAGAAGGGACATAACTATAGATCTGTGAGGAGATATAAGAGGGGCTAGAGTTGTTCAGTGCTTTATAGGTGTGAATTAGTACCTTGAATTGACTCCTATAGCATACAGGAAGCCAATGTAAGGACTGGTAGAGGGGTGAGTTGTGAGAGAAATGACTAGAGAGGAAAATCAGTCTGGCAGCAGCGTTCATTACGGACTGTAACGGTGCAGTACAGCTTTTGGGAAGACCAATCAGGAGAGGGTTACAATAATCCATGCGGGAAATTACTAGAGCATGGACAAGCTCCTTGGTAGTATCTGGTGCAAGAAAGGGGCGGGTGCGGGCTATGTTTTTAAGATGGAATCTACAGGATTTGGCAACATGCTGGAGGTGAGGCCAGAATCAAGTATGACGCCAAGACAGCACGCTTGCAAGGATGGATCGATGTAGGTACCACAAACTTGAAGGGAGAGCAAAAGAGGAGGATCAGTATTAGGAGGAGGAAAGACAAGGAGCTCAGTTTTAGAGAGATTGAGTTTCAGAAAGCGGGAGGACATCCAGTCAGAGATGGAAGAAAGGCAAGCAGTGACACGTTGCAGGACGGCAGGGGAGAGGTCCGGGGAGGAGAGATATAACTTGGTGTCATCAGCGTACAGGTGGTAGTGGAATCCAAAAGAGGTAATAAGTTTGCCAAGAGAGACAGTATAAAGAGAAAATAGAAGGGGACCAAGGACAGAGCCTTGGGGGACTCCAACCGAGACAGGACGAGGGGAGGAGGTATCATTAGAAAAAAAGACACTGAATGAGCGTTGGGAGAGATAAGAGGAGAACCACGAGAGGACAGAGTCACAAAGACCAAGCGATTGAAGAGTTTAAAGAAGGAGAGCGTGATCAGCGGTGTCAAAGGCCGCTGAGAGGTCAAGAAGAATTAGTATGGAGTAGTGGCCTTTGGATTTAGGTTTAGATTAGGTCGTTAGTAAATTTGATAAGCGCATTCTCAGTAGAGTGGGGAGGGTGGGGAGGGTGGAAGACAGATTGAAGAGGGTCAAGGAGAGAGTTGGAATTGAGGAAATGAGACACACAGGTAAATATAAGTCTTTCCAGAAGCTTTGAGGAAAAAGTGAGCAGGGATATGGGACGATAGTTAGAGGGGGTGGACAGGTTGAGGGATGATTTTTTTTAGTATAGGTACTACAGTGACATGTTTAAGGTCACTAGGGACAATGCCAGAAGAGAGAGAGTAGTTGAAGATGTGTGTTAAAGAAGGCACGAGACAAGTGGAGAGAGATCTAATAAGGTGAGATGGAACAGGATCGAGTGGGCAAGTGGTGGGGCGAGAGGAGCAAAGAAGAGCCGGGGAGAATGTCTGAAGGGTAAGAAAGGCATGATCTATGTGTGGTTGAGAAACAGAATGGCAAGGAGGGGAGAATTAGAAATGAAACTAGATGTTTGTAAATGTCACAGTACATTATTTGGAATAGTTGGTGCCTGGTTATTATAGTCTGTTTTTACCGTTTTAACAGAATCTGCATTGTTGTTTACTGAATGGAAAATCATGTTTTTCAGACTTCCATTTTATGGAATTGAGTAATGTATAGTACAAATTTGCTATATAATAATTTGTAGTTGTTAGATTGTTTCTTTTGGTGAGTGATGTTAAATATTGACTGTCTCTGTAAAGGTGAAACAGCTGTTTGTAGATCTAAATATGCATGAGTTTGTTCAAGAGGATTACTGTCAATTGTATAAAAGTATAAATCCCACTAATGACTTTGTTTTGCCCAAGATAGGGAATGGAGTATAATATTTAATTGGAGGTGTTAGTTTAAGATTGCTCTTGCAATCGATCACCTTTGTCAATTTGTTAACTACCCTTTGAAAAAAATGTATGTGCCCTAAGCATAGAAACCTACATTTTTTATTACTGTGTTTCCTCTGAGGGATAAATAGAATGAAATGTATTTACTTATTGTATTAACTTATTTTGGATTGGTTATGGTTCATCTGCATATCCGTGAATGTGCTTTTGCATTGGCAACTCTGCTGATTGTCCATAGTGTGCATCTACTACGTCTTTTGTTTTCTGTTTTGTAGGATGACAACATGAATCATATTGTAATGATTAAGTATAAACTCTATGTTTTGTAATGAATTGGTGTTATGTGTTCATGTCCATTGTTTATGAGTTTAAATAAAATAGAATAAACTGAGGTATATTTGCCATTACTAAGGAGCTTGTCCATGCTCTAGTAATCTCATGCATGGATTATTGTAACTCTCTCCTAATAGGTCTTCCCGCAAGACTGTAGTCCCGCTACAGTCTGTAATGAATGCTGCAGCTAAACTGATTTTCCGCTCCTGTTGCTCCTCTCACACCTCTCCCCTCTGTCAGTCCTTACATTGGCTTCCTGTATCCTATAGGAATCAATTCAAGGTTCTAATCCACACCTATAAAGCACTGACCAATTCTATCCCCTCCTATATCTCTTCACTGATCCACAGGTATGCCCCTTCTCCGTCTCTCCGCTCTACCCATGACCTTCTCCTGTCCGCTGCTCACACCCGTATGGCCAGCTCATGCTTGCAGGACTTCTCACAGGTGGCTCATTTCATTTGGAATAGCCTGCCTACGACCATCAAGCACTCCCCTAGTCTTCAATCTTTTAAAAAGTGCCTCAAAACTCATCTCTTTAGGAAAGCTTATTGCCTCCCAGAGTAACCTCTACCTCACATACCTATCCCTTGCTCTCTCCTAAAGGGCAGCACTGTATTCTTTCCTCCAGCTCTGCTTCACTCCACCTTGTTTGATTGCTACCTCCTGTCCTGTTGTGTTTTACTCCCCACCTTCTATAGACTGTAAGCTTGTTTGAGCAGGACCCTCTTCAGCCTATTGTTCCTGTAAGTTTTTGTAATTGGCTCATTTATTGTTAAATGTCTCCATTTGGTAATATTGTAAAGTGCTACTTATATACTTATATGCTGGCGCTATATAAATACCAATAATAATAATAATTAACGCAAGCCTTTAGTTTTTTTAAAACAGGTAAAAGGCAGTGCAGCCGGCAAGAAGGAAACCATTGCATGCTATCACTCCTGAAGATTTTTTTGATGATCTAAGACTTTGCAAGAAAAGCGCTTGTTACATCTTATGTGAAAGGGCCCCACAAAATGAGGCTGATCAAATCGTGGATCCACATTTCCCATTGTAAAGTAACTAATCCAGAACGTGAATCTTTCACAGGAAACAGACTGGATGGACAAGGAGATAGCTCTCACTTATAAAGAAGTACTATTAGGTGGTTAACTCTTTTGTTTAAAAAATAAAAAATTCATTGCTTTGTTTGTGTCAAAAAGTATGTAATCCATATTGATCATCTTTGATACATGGGTGGTTGGGGTTTAGATACTAAGCAACCTGTCCTCTTAGGTGATGGATAATCATTTTATTAATCAGCCACAGACTTGTACAGGTGATACTCGAAAAATTTGAATATCGTGCAAAAGTTCATTTATTTCAGTAATGCAACGTAAAAGGGAAAACTAATATATGAGATAGACGCATTACATGCAAAGCAAGATAGTTCAAGCCGAGATTTGTCATAAGTGCAATGATTATGGCTTACAGCTCATGAAAACCCCAAATCCACAATCTCAGTAAATTAGAATATTGTGAAAAGGTGCAATATTCTAGGCTCACAGTGTCCCACTCTAATCAGCTAAGTAAGCCATAACACCTGCAAAGGGTTTCTGAGCCGTGGTCTCTCAGTCTGGTTCAGTAGGAATCACAATCATGGGGAAGACTGCTGACTTGCCAGTTGTGCAGAAAACCATCATTGACATCATTGAGGGAAAGCCTCAAAAGGTAATTGCGAACGGTATAGCTAACCTCAGGATAATAGGGAGAAACACAAGTAAACATATGCATACTCAGTAGCAACGTATGTATAATCAGCAGCAACAATGACCAAAGAGCGACCACCCTTGACCACCACCCTTGATTGTAAGGTCGAATTGTCCAACCCTAGACGGAGGAACACCCTCCGGGTAATTCTGCAGATGTGCTCCTTGGCCAGGAGTCATTTCTCGATAGCACATTCACCTGTAACACTACACTGTTGGGTATGGTATATAACTAGAATGCTCTAAATACAAACTCAGGACTTTCCAGTTCTGAAATATGCTGACATTGTGAATTGAGCTGTATTGTAGTATCACTTGTCTTTTACCTTTTACCCACCTACCCCTCTTCCTTTCTGTACCCCAACTGTTATGAAAAATTCAATAAAAGTACAAATTGAAAAAAAAGGTAATTGCGAAGGAAGTTGGATGTTCACAAAGTGCTGTATCAAAGCACATTAAGAGAAAGTTATGTGGAAGGGAAAAGTGTGGAAGAAATAGGTGCACAAGCAGCAGGGATGACCGAAGCCTGGAGAGGATTGTCAGGAAAAGGCCCTTCAAATGTGTTGGGGACTTTCACAAGGAGTGGACTGAGGCTGGAGTCAGTGCATCAAGAGCCATCACACACAGATGGATCCTGGACATGGGCTTCAGATGTCGTATTCCTCTTGTCAAGCCGAGGACAACAAACAACGTCAGAAGTGTCTTACCTGGACTAGAGAAAAACAGACCTAGTCTGTTGCTCAGTGGTCCAAAGTCCTCTTTTCTGATGAGAGCAACTTTTGCATCTCATTTGGAAACCAAGGACCCAGAGTCTGGAGGAAGAATGGAGAGGCACACACTGCAAGATGCTTGAAGTCCAGTGTGAAGTTTCCACAGTCTGCGTTGATTTGGGGAGCCATGTCATCTGCTGGTGTTGGTCCACTGTGCTTCACTAAGTCCAGGGTCAACACAGTCATCTACCAGGAGATTTTGGAGCACTTCATGCTGCCTGCCGCAGACACGCTTTATGGGGAAGCTGACTTCATTTTCCAGCAGGACTTGGCACCTGCCCACACTGCCAAAAGCACCAAAGCCTGGTTCAATGACCGTGGGATTACTATGCTTGATTGGCCAGCAAACTCACCTGACCTGAACCCCATAGAGAATCTATGAGGCATTGCCAAGGGAAAGATGAGACATGAGACCAAACAATGCAGAAGAGCTGAAGGCCGCTATTGAAGCATCCTGCTCTTCCATAACACCTTTAGCAGTGCCACAGGCTGATAGCTTCCATACCACACCGCATTGAGGCAGTAATTGCTGCAAAAGGGGCCCAAACCAAGTACTGAGTCCATATGCATGCCTATACTTTTCAGAGGTCCGATATTGTTCTATGTATACTCCTTGTTTTATTGATTGCATGTAATATTCTAATTAACTGAGATTGTGGATTTGGGGTTTTCATGAGCTGTAAGCCATAATCATCGCACTTATGACAAATCACAGCTTCGACTATCTTGCTTTGCATGTAATCTCATTAATTAGTTTCCCCTTTTACGTTGCATTACTGAAATAAATGAACTTTTGCACAATATTCTAATTTTTCGAGTATCACCTTATATACTGTCATGGTCCTAATACCATTAAACAAAATGTTGTTTTTTTTTTTTTTTAAAGAGGGGGTAGTATGGTGTATCCAGCATAAGGTTCATCTAGTGGACCTTATTGATCATGGCAATGATGAAATTGTATTTTTAATAATGATCAGAAAACTTTATGCTTAAATTAGTACGCTTGTAAGTGAGGCAATTTATTAGTACTTTTTTAAGTGAGGCAATCTAGTGTATTATATTTGTATTGGTATATTGAAAGCATTTTGCTGGAAGACCTTATTAGAAGATATTTCAACAAACTGACCCAGAAGATGATAGAAATAAATAAATATTATACTCATTTAACCAGGATTGAGTGTGTTGTTTAGGTAATCTCACCTTAGCACTATTCATTATTTGGAAAAAAAGGCCTGCAGTTAGAATTTTGTAGTAAGAGGTTAATCACTTGTTGAAGAATTTCTGAATTTTTTTATAGTGTAGGTTATAGTGTAGAAAATGTCTTCATATTTTTATATTTAAATGTTTTTAACATTTGATATATGAGTGCTTTGAAAAGTTATAATTTTAGAAGTTAATCCAAGAGTATTAAATTAATTAATTGGGGTGTTGCACACAGCATTGTGGTGAAAATCTGTTAGCCATTCTATTGAACAATTTATCGATCCCAACTGATTTCCTTATCCTCCTTGAAAGACTTATTTTTCCTTTTTCTGAACTATTGAACTATTTTGTTATTATAATTTTTTTTTTTTTGTAGAGTTAGCCAGACAGAGGAAGTGTTTACTGACCCAAGGATAGATGTAGAATGTGTGTTTTTGAAGTATGTTAAGTGTGTCAAGGATAGATTCCACAAGTTTCGAACTTGCTTGCATAGAGAAGTGAATTATATTTTTACCTCCCCCCTGGTGTAGACAGACAACATTTAAAATGCAGCCTCAATATTAGTTTACCTCCCATCGGCTTGCATCATTTTGATAATTTGATTGGACAGTTAGATTAGTAGGTTATTTGGAAAGAATAGCAAAGAAGGTACTATGGGGAATTTGTCATGTACTTTTGTCGCTATTTTTTGCCTTTGTACGATTAATGAAATTATTGCGCAAGTGCCGAATTTTGGAAGTGCGGAACCAAACCAAATTTTTTGCCCATTCACATCCCTAAGAGATACCAAACCAAGTAAAAGACAGGCAAGAAATATCCTTAGTTAATGTACAAGAAGAGCAAGTACAAATCACTAAAGAATTTTTAACTTGTTTGTTAGAAGAACAACAAATAACAAAAAAAGAAATTGTAACTGCCATAAAAGAAGTAAAAGATGAGTTAAAGAATTTGAATCAAAAAGTTCAAGCAAATATGTAAAAATTTGAGTCAATGAAATTTGATATGGAAAAACAAGAAGAAGAAATTGAGAACCTATTAAAGAAGGTATCTGAGTTGCAAAACAAAATAGCAGAGTTGGAAGACCACTCAAGGAAAAACAATCTCAGGATAAGAGGTGTCTCAGAAGATGTAAAAAATGAGGATATAAAAGATTTTCAAAGAAATAGCAGGAGAAGTAGGAGAAAAATAACTACTCCTAACTAGAGCCAACAGGCTCCCGAAACCATCCCAGGCACCAGCACATGCCCCCAAGGATATCATAGTTTGTTTTCATAACTACTTATACAAATAAAAGATCTGGAAAGCGAGATACACAACAGATTAAAATAGGAAAATTCAAGGATCTAAGAATCATGACTGATTTATCTATTTTCACACGGCAATAAAGGTTAAAATTACTGTGACGAAGTGTCCTTCGCCACTTATGCCTGGAGAGGACTAATTGCCAGCCTCTTCCCTTGTGACTATGGCTCCTGGGAAGTATTGCCATTTAAAAGTCTGTTTGGGCTTATTGGATTTTGGGACACTTTTTCTGCCCCTTTGAATCCATGGGAAGGTGTGCCTCTTTCCCTACCCCGTTACCAGTCCCATTGTTCTCCAGCAAGGTGTTGTCCCAGGGACACTGTCAGACCAGTTGAAACTGGCTGCTTTGTCCCTCCTCAATCTCTCATCGGCCCTTGCTATCGTGGGATCTGAGCGCTGTTCGGCTATATTGAGCGTTCAGATCCAAGCTATCTGGGGATAGGTCAAATGTGGGGGTTCAGTTCTATAGAATATTAGTTATGTATTTTAATGTGTTTTGTTGCAGTTGTAACTTGGTGATATTTTCTGTACCTGGAGATAATTGAGTTTATTACAGTTACTTAAGCCAATTATCACCAGGATAGAGGAGAAAATAGACAGACCGCACAGCTCAAATCTATGGAACTCTTTTGGGCAGGAAAGCCATGCTTGCGGTCGGTCAAATAGGACCTCCACCTAACTTTTAAACCACTGGAGGGAATTGTATGATTTTTGAGTAAGTTTGTATATGGAGTATGCTGATTCAGAATATGTAATTTTTATGGAGAATGTATGTATATTTTGGGAGTTATGAATATTGTATGAAACTGTGTACTTTCCTGCCTGTGATAATTAAGTTAACCCATTGTGTACAATAATTATATCACAGGCAGAGGGGAGGGTTTGTGTGTCCTAACTGGGAGTGTTTGACTGTACTATTATATGTTTGATTAGCTTTCCACAAAACCATGTGGGTGGTAACTGTGTGTAAAAACGTGCATAAAAGAAAGCCCTATGGTGCTGATTAAACATATCATCTTGTACCTTCATTAAGTTTCGGCTCATGTTTGGGGGATTGGAGAAGTACACTCTGGGGATTGCTATAGGGTATAATCACTAAGCTCTGCTAAGAGCTTGTTCCTGTTCCTGCTTTCTGGAATTTGGAGAGGTCGACCTACTGGAAGCTGGACCCTGGTCTTGGGTATAGAGTGGGTGGAGACGGCGAGACACCAACCGAACTTCGGCAGGTCGTGGGGTCTGCAGTGGTTATGGTGTCAGGTGGAGTGCTTGGAGCCCTCGGAAAGCATTAGGCACATACGTCAGCAGAAGGTACCCAATCGGGGTGCCAGCGGTTCCGTTACAATTACTATTAAGAACTATTATTTAATCTAAAGATCAAGGTCTAAAATTGATAAAGGACTGGAAAATAGGGGGAAGGGGGACCTCAAGTTCATTGAAAAGAAAGGAGAAAAGAATAAAAAAGGAAAAGGGTAGGGAGAAGAGGGGGGAAATGTATTAGAGAAAATATCTTTCAGTTTAAATATATAGGGGTGAGGAGGAGGAGGAGAATTTGAAGGTTTTTTTGTTTTTTTGCTTTTCTTCTCCTTCTCATTCCCACACCTCTCCTTCTCTCCCTCTTGCCTCTTTTAGTTTTTGCCTATCTGACTTTAGTCACACTGCGATTAGCTTCTTAGTGGAGCTAAATAATTAATTTTTTGTAAGCAGAACATAAGCCTCAACATATACAGGTTGGAGGTTTTGTGTTTTTGTTTTGGTATGATTGTGCTGTATGAATGGAAGTGTAACTTAGAAGTAAGATATAAAAATGGGGAAAGAAGAGAAAAAGAGGATTAGAATACAAACTAATAATTCTATATGGTTCTTAGCTGGAAAATAAATAAAAAATCACAGACTATGGTTAGATTTTGTTCTATAAATGCACAGGGTTTAAATTCACCCTTCAAAAGGCACACATTAATGGATATGTTAAATAGAGAAAAATAGATATTGTGCTTATTCAAGAGATAATAAAAAATATTCACTGCAAATAATGTCTTGTTATAATAAAAAGGTAGTGGCACTTTGATTTTAATAAGTGATTCGATCTCTTTTAAAATAATAGTGCAGATTGTATTAAGTGTATTCCCATATACTATGTTTGGGGTATAATATATGGGAATACATTTAATACAATCTGCACTATTATTAGCTCTTTTTATGTTTATTTTTCTCCTACATGCTTTGAAAGATCTATGTATGGAAGACTCTCCCCTTGAGATTAAGTATTGTTTTTTGTTTTACTTAAACCTTTCTACACCTGTAGAGATTCAGGGGAGGTTGCCTAAATTGTCACTTTTCAACAAATTGCTCCACTCTTATTCCTCTTTTTCCTTGTTCACTGCATTGTGTATGGTGTGTTTAAAGGGTACCACACCTAGAGTGTTTGAAGCAGTAATTTAAGTTATTAGCGCTAATTAGACTTTTTTCCCCTACTAAATAAGCGCTCCAAATATTACCATTTTAATTGATATATGGAGAACTATAAACCCAGAAAATTGTTTTACTTTTTATTCTATACCCTTTAATTCCTACTCACGTATAGATTTATTCTTATCCCGACCTCTATCTTTTATGAAAACTTAAAATGTGAAATTTCAATCCCCAACTTGGTCAGATTATGTGCTTGTATTTCTTGAATTAAAAACAAGAAAAAATAAAGTTAGACAAGAGTGGAGACTTAATGAATCCCTTCTTAAATTAAAGTATATTATGGAAAGCTTGCAAAAAGAAATAAAACGTTATTTCCAAGAAAATTAATCACTCCAAATTTTGAAGGTGTGCATTTAAGGCAGTAATTAGAGGGCACATAATTAAATTTAGTTCTAATGAGAAAAAAAAGGTTTGCCTCTTTAACAATTATATATGCAACTATTCCAATTAGAAAAAAAGAACAAAGAAAGCCCATCTCTCAAAATCTTTGAAGAAATGTATAAAATTAGAGATCAAATAAAACATAAAGATGTAGAAAGAATGAATTTAAATCTTCTTCGTTTAAAACAAAAATTGTATAGCCAAGAGAACAGGGTCAATAGAATGATGTCAAAGAAGCTAAAATAATCAAAAGAAAATATATAAAATAGACAAAATAATGGAAAATGGGAAGATTATACTGGACTCATCTAAAATAGGTGTTTCTTTTAAAATATTTTATTAAAAATTATATTATTTAGGAAAAGATTGTGATTTAAAATTAATAGAAGTCAGAGACAAAATGAAAAAATAAATTTAGATATGAAGATATGCTCATCAGTGTGGGCAGTTATATTAAAAAAGGTTATCCACAAATTAATAAATAAAGATCAATCAGGATTTATTCCAAAAAGAAAAGTGGAGGATAACATAAGGAAAATTATAGATATAATGTTTTCGGCCCATAGTCAAGAGATCTCTTCTGGCCCTGTCATTGGATGCCAAAAAGACCTTTGACTGGATCAATTGGGTATTTCTAGAAGAAACGTGATATATATATATATATATATATATATATATATATATATATATATATATATATATATATAATGGTACCAGACAAGGATGCCCATTGGCCCCTATGTTATATGCACTCTCATTGGAACTATTTGCTCAAATAATTAGGTGCTTCAGATTGGGAGAAAGGGAATTTAAATTATCAATGTTTGCAGATGACACTTTGTTGACCCTATAGGATCCAATATCATCATTAAGTGAACTTATGAAGGACATACAGTTGTTTTCTGAACTATCATTCTATAAATTAAATATTGATAAGTGCCAAGCGATAATTGGAAATGCTAAGGAGGACAAAAAAGAAACTCTTCAAGAAACATATAAATTTCAATGGAAAGAGAAAATAATGGACTATTTAGGGATACAAATTGCTTTTACAAAAATGGAAATGATCAAATTTAATTATAAATCTTTATTTAATAAATTTAAAAATAAATTAGATGCATGGAAAAAATGTACCATTTCATGGATAGGCAGAATAGAAATAATGAAATATTATATACTACCTAAGCTTACATTTCTTTTTAGATCTATTCCACTAGCGGTCTCAAAAATCACAATATCTGAGTTCCAAAAGATATTTAATCAATTCATATAGAACTATAAGAAACCGAGAGTTGCATTTAAAATACTATCTAGAACTATGGAAGAAGGTGGTTTGGGCCTACCAAATATAAATAATATTTATGACTCAATGATGCTGTCTCATATAGTTAAATAGTGCAATATAAATCAAGCCCTACAATGGCTAGAACTAGAAAACAATGCACCACTTAACAGAAAGAATGTGATAATCATTTTATGGTCAAAAGAAGCAAAGTTTGTATTAGATAACCCAATTTTTAAAGATTTAAGCCTTATTTGGGAAAAAATTTAATTAAAATATCTATCAATGCACAAGCTGAAGTCTTATATTCCATTAAATATGATGGCAATATTACTAAGTGATATAAGTTTAAAATCATGGGTAGATAAAGGAATAACTCATCTATATCAGATAATAAATGAACAAGAAGTGGTACCCTTTTGCAAACATTCTCAAAACTTCAAACTCTCACCAAATGAACTCTGTAATTATCTAAGATTGAAAAATTACTTGGAAAAGGAGATATTAAAGTTTAAAAAGGTCAAGAACAAAATAATAGAATCAATATTCTTAGGGAAAGTAGAAAATAAGATGGGGAAGACCATGTATAATATAATCAATCAACAAGAACCATTCTCTGCCTTGTCACAAATAAAGAAATGGCAAGAAGTGCCTTTGAAATGCTTTTGAAATAGATGAAAGGAAATGGATAACAGCTGTAAACTATATGAAATATGCTACACATAATGTAAATCTTTTAGAAACATACTCCAAACTCCAATTTTGATGGTATTTGACACCAAAAAAATTAAATAAACTCACTAGCCAATATAACAAAACATGCTGTAGATGTGCCAGTGAGGTAGGCTCTTTTACTCACTTATGGTGGGAATGTAGAGATATTAAACGGGCATGGAATAAATTATTTCTCATACTCCCAAATTAGCAGAAAGGGAAATTAGCCCAAATTTGCAATTAGCCTTGTATCATATTGATATAAAGATGTTAACTAAAAAATATTAGAGACATAGTTATTCTCTTATTCCTGGCATTTAAATTACAACTGGTAAGAAAATGGAAAAGTGATGCAAAAATAAATGTTACAGCATTATTTGAACAAATAAAATATCAAGCTCTAATGGAAAAAGGTTATGGACAAAACAATGAATCAAATTTAAAAATAAATTATGCACTGGTATAAAAAGAAAGAAAAAATATGGCTAACCCCTGCAATACTGATTCAACCTTGGTTAACCCCTGTAGTGCTGTCCCAGCTTTGATCTATCTCGTGCAATTCAGCTACAGCTTTAATCAAGTCTTTTTTTCATTTACCAAGTGCTGGAACTCTAGT